ACGTTTCGAAGAAACCGACAAGTGTCTTCAAATAGCCAAGCTAGTGACTGGTTTGACAAAGCAGCTCGCTGGTCCATCGCGTTGCAGTCGCCGAGTCTGACCGACATCTGATTTACCCTCCCCATACCCATACCCAAACTGTAAGCGAAGAATGGTCGTGAGGTGTGAAGGTGGGGAAAGTTCTGGCCTGATATCCGCCTAAGGCACAGTGTTTTGACTATAAATTAGAACTTTGCGGTATGATCCTCATTGTGGAGCGCTTCGAGAACAGGTGGACAAATCCCATGGATTGCTCTTGCCGCTGGAGTGGCGTTACTGTTCTAAGAATAAGATATAGGAGCATGTGAGAAAGTTGGTAATATTCATCACATTTATTTCTCGCAATACCAACGTCGTTGTAGAATATGATGAACTGTAACGGTTAGCTCGTTCCTGGTTGTCCTGGTTGACCTCCTGGTTGTGGATTGGTTCCTCCTGGTTGTCCATTGGTTCCCGTGGCAGCTTTTTCACTAGGTTGATCCTTCTCTGAACCCTTAAAATGACGTCTTTACTTGCTATTAGTCAAATATTTATACGCCCAGTGTCTTCCTATTGTACTGGATCTCTGTTTCTATGAATAAACTACTAACTGTGGTCGAGGCCTGTGGAGCAGCGGCAGGCTGTGTAGGATTGGTCATAGGTGCACTTAGCTGAGATTTGTCCTCTTCGGGTGGTTTTTGTTGTTTTGCTTTGAAGCCCTGAAACGAGATCGGCGACATAGGCGAGCACTCACGATCAGTGCAGAGCTTATCGTTCCTGGATTACTCGGATTACTCACCGTGAACGGCTTGATGAAGTCTTTATCAGCTTTTGCATTGACGGCATTCGGATCGCTTGCGATGACAGGACATGGCCTAGCCTTCGGTGCCAAATTTGGCGCAATTTGCATTTTAAGCTGTTGGAACGTGATCTAAAACTAAGTTTACTTTCATCAGATCGTTCAGGCTAGAAGAAACGCACAGAGCTATTTTTGCCCTCTCGTGCCATGCGCAAAAGGCCTTCTACTAGTTTTTCTATAATTTGATTTCCCTTCACAAAGTGACCTCAAGCAACAATCCCAGATCGAATTGATAGGGTAGGGGGTTGATAATGATGGCGGGGAAAAGGCGTGTCTGGACGAGTTTCAGAACACAATCGCATCTGCGATGCATCTTTCGTATCTGTCTGCCCATCGGCTATCTTCATCCGCTACGTCTTAATCCAAGTTGCATGCTAAGGAGTGCGAGGTATCTCGTCCGTAAGTTCACATTAGCCGCCATCAGATCAGCTTGTAAGACTTTAGCGCCATAGTGGCGCACTTTCGAGCCGCCGCGAAAACGGCACATCTGTGATGCAC